AGTCGGACATGGCCGACCTATATACATGTTTAAGCAATTTATAGATAAAAATAAATAACTGGAGTTATATGGCGACTAGGGTCAAATATGAACCGATCCTCATAAAATTCTAGGGTGTGATTTTAATTCATATAAAACTTATTTGTGCCAAATTTTATCATAATACTAGTGATTAGAGGTGAGTTACGGACGTTTAAGTGTTTTTCTGAAATTAAACTTTGAATGGAACTAGGGTCAAATGAGGTCCAATCGTTATGAAAATCGGCATAAAGGTTATAAACATTTTAGATCTGCCGATTTTTGAAGGGATAGTATTATAATTAACAGAATTATGAGCTAAAAAGTGATATTTTCGGTTCCGTTTGTATGGCGGCGAGGTGTAAAAATAGACCGATTTTAAAAATTTTCAACAGTTTTCGTCTTTGGTGCCACAAAAGAACATATACCCAATTTTGTTGAATTATCTTCAAAAATGCAGAAGTTATAAGGGTTTTATTTTTTCAGTCGTGGTTTACCTTTTCATGGAATTGCCCATATGTGATTTTTAACATTAAAATTTTTTCTAAAACTATATTTAACTATTTTTATTAGATTTTTCTAAACTTTTCTAGGGTATTTCTTTGTTTATTTATGTTGACAAATTTGTCATACACATGTACATATTTATAAACATTGTATTGTTAAAAAGCATATGAGCTTTTCCATGGAAATGTAAACCAAGACTGAAAAATATAAATTTACCCGTTAGGTATAGGAAAGTTGTCATAGGAGAGATAAATTAGCGTAACAATGTGTAATACAGAGATCTTATCTTTGACTATGATGAAATCAACAAATCCTTGTCATATATAAATATTAATATCAACATCGGGGTAATTTTCGGAGACTTGGATCAATTATGGACCGAACTCTTCAAATAATGGTCCTACACCTTAAAGTATACCAATCGGCTCAGAATCACTTTCTGAGTGGTTTAGTCGATTTGTGCGCACGCTGCAGGTCGCAATTTTCAAGATAATTTGATGAAATTTGGCCCATACTCTTTTTTTGACACAAGAACGAACATTATTGCCAAATCGATCCATTATTTCGCCTAGGCCCCATACAACCGTACCGCCTAAATAGGGCTTTTGAGCTCATAATTATGTTAAATGTTTCAGTATGTCAACAAAAATCGGAAAAATTTAGTTTTATAGAAGTTTAACTCCATGGTGTAGGGGGGTATCATTGGTCAGCCATGCCCGACTATACATTCATACTTGCTTTCCATTGAATTTACACCAATCTGTAGTCTTACAAATGTCACATATGAAATCATGGAAATCCCCATATACTACTGGTACCTATAACATCCGAACTACATTGAATTTGTAACTCATTTTTTGTATTATTCTTTAAGTAGAAAAAAATTTAAAAAAATACACAACAATAATGTTTATTAAATTAGCATTTATATTGTTATACGCGATTCGTTTGTTTTATAAATTATTTTTTGTTGGTTTTTTTTTCATATTTTTATTTTTATTATCGTTAGTAATCTTGAGGTAGTTGTTGAACTTGTGAGATAATAAAATAATTTTTAAATTAAGTTAAAGAATATTGTACTTTACATTTCAATACTATAAAACAAGCATTCAACGTGTATTTGCAGTAGAGATTGAGTGAAAATAGAATTAACAATTTGTGGTCACTACCACACATCATTATCATCATCATTGATGACTAAATTTTGTAATAAAAATATCATTGTTTTTGAGTGCATTTAAAATTAACTGAAATTTTTTGTTAAAACATTTATAAACATCTGAGTTTAATAAGAGAGGATATCACGTACTAGAATTTAAGATGAATAATTATCAAATAAATGAGCATGTTTTAAATTGTAATTATAATAATATATTTCTCAAGAATTATTAAAATTCTATATCATCATTTTAATCGCCTTTGGAATATTAAATTATTATTGCATTCCAGTTTACTTAGACTGGGACTGGTTGCTAATATAGAATAATTTTGTTTCGATTTCAATATTCTCTAGAGAATTTTATGGTAACCGGTCAATATGGTTTTAAAATTTAACTGCTTCTTATTCTTATTTTTGAGTGTGGATAAGACCAATTGACAGATATTTTATTTAGTTTTCATAATTTATGGAAGCTATAGCAGCGTTTGACAAACGTTTTAATAAACAAAGTTCCTGAAGTACAGTGGATTTTAAGATTTTTTTCTTATTTGCCTTTATCCAAATTCTACAACATTTCTGCAACTTGAGATTTAGGTATTTTTAGCTTAGCAAGTATGTACATAAAATTTACTGACGGAAGAGCATCTGTAAGTTACGGCAAACGATGTTCGAAATGGTGATCCGAGCTCCGAGAAAATGTTAATATATAAGAAGTGTATATTCGGCTTTGTAATCCCTGTACCAGTACCTCTAGTCTGCCGGTACTATAAACTTGTGATGATCAAATGTATCCTCGGCCTTTCTTTAAATGATTTGGATTATGGTTTTTACCATAGAACCACATAATCTGGTATAACGGGAACCGGTAGACCGGTTTCGGCATCCCACTAAGTAATCACAAAGCTCTTAAGTAAAAATATAGCTATCTGAAGTCCTTTGGACAATTTTTGCTAGGACCAATAGGTGAAAAGTTATACCCATTTGAATAAAACCCTGTATGACCAAAATATCCAACTTTGACCCCCTCTAAGTCCGGCAGTTCTTGACCGATAAAGCTGAAAATTTGTGTCTGAACTACTATCCAATAGTACTAACTTTAGTACAAATTTCGTCGAAATCGATTTTTTTGAGTTGAGTCACATGACATGAAATTCCCATATGTATACTAGGGTTATGACTTTTTGCAATTTTTGCAAATATGTATTAAAAAAATACCATAACAAGACCTTGTAGGGCGTGAACAGATGTTAAGGAATATTATATTATTTTTTCGCGATTGTGAAAGAAGTTCCCGCTTTTGTATTACATTACATTAAAGAGAACGTTGTTCTTTAAACCCTTGTTATGGAATTTCTAACAAATCGCGATAATATAGTTTATATTAAAATTATTAAAATAATTTTAGTAAAAATAACGAACAAAAGCATTTTAGGAATTGCTTTCGGTGCGGGAAGTTTTTCACCGAATTGACTTAAAAAATAGCCTTATATTATTATGACAGTATTGGCTATAAGGCAGTGCTATGGTATTTTGCCGCCCGAAAAATGTTATACCCTAATGTCGGTATACCCTTTTTTCATTAAAAGTTGTTATCTTTGAAAGATATTTGGTTTTTCGCCACTTCTGTGTGTTTCTTATATACATAATTTTAAAAGTAATACTTTTTAAAATTCTTAATATTGATCCAATTCCCAAACTCCGACTATTTAAAAGACTATGAGTTAGCAAGTTTGACTTACTAAGTATTTATACCTATATAATAAAATAAAATTAGTAATTTAAAATAACTTAACAACCAATTAAAATGTTGTAAACTTTTAAATACATCATTAAATAGTTGTTTAGTTAATGGCTTATAATAATATACACATTAATTAAATTTATTTCCTATTTCGGAATTAATTAAAAATTACTAAATAGTCAGAGTAAACATATGTATGTATGTCAAAAATTAAAAAAAAAATAAATAAATACATATCGAGCGAATATATTGATTACTCTATATTTTATATTGGGATGCAAATCGGTTTTAATGGCTACATACTAATCAAAAATACAACATCTATGATATAAGTAAATTACTCAGACTAATGAATTTTGGCGCATTTAATTTAAAAAAAAAAAAATTCTGAAATCCTCTTATAATGACTTACATACTTATATTTAATCAGATACGTACATATGTAAGTACTATGTTTTGAGTTCGTATTCGTAAAACAACTTTTTAAGTTCTTATTTAATTAGTTATTTGTAATAGAGCATGTAATTAATTGGTAGTGAAAAGCGGTTTTTTAGTGTTTTAACTCATAACTTTTCAATGTAAGATTTTGTTGGGATGCTTTAAAATTCAATTATTCATTTTCGAGATATCAGCCATTTTAATAAAAACAAGTAAGAAATTATAGTCGGGCGAGGCCGACCATATAATACCCTACATCATTGACAAAAATATAATGTGATTTAGTTGCCATAATAAAGCATTTAAGTTGAATTGTACCTTGCCTTAGATATACATACTTAAACTGTTTATTGTTGAATAAAATTGTGGACATTTAAGTGAAATTTTGATGGGGGCTTTTCATAGGGGCTAGGGTTATATAAGAGATATGAGTATATTAAACATAATTATGAACTTAAAAGCCCTATTCGGCGGGGTTCAGTTGTATGGGGGCTAGGTGAAATAATGGACCGATGTAAACCATTTTCAACAGGCTTCGTTTACGGTACCATAAAAGATCATGTGCCAAATTTCATTGAATTATCTCCAAAATTGCGACCTGTAGTTTGATTACAAGGTTTAAAAGCCCTATTCGGGGTTTCAGTTGTATTGGGGCTAAGTGAAATAATGGACCGATGTTAACCATTATCAATAGGCTTCGTCTACGATACCATAAAAGATTATGTGCCAAATTTCATTGAATTATCTCCAAAATTGCGACCTGTAGTTTGATTACAAGCCCTATTGGGGGGTTCAGTTGTGTGGGGGCTAGGTGAAATAATGGACCGATCTTAACCATTTTCAATACGCTTCGTCCCTGGGATAATAGAAGATCATGTACCAAATTTCATTGAATTATCTTCAAAATTACGACCTGTAGTTTGATTACAAGGACAGACGGACGGACATAGCTAAATCGACTCAGAAAAAATGATTCTGAGCCGATTGGTATACTTTAAGGTATAGGACCAATATTATTTTGCGTTACAAACATCAGCACAAACCCAATATACCCTCCCCACTAAAGTGGTGTAGGGTATAAAAATGTTATGCGTATTGGAACAAAAATCATAATTTCAAGCTTAATTAAATATTTACCTTAAATTCGAAATATGATGTTTTTTTAGTATTTCTAATTTCTGCACTCGAAACAATTTCAATAAACATGCATTACCACGATTATTTAAACAATTATGGCACTAAAGGGAGAACAGACTGCAAACCACTTCAAATTGAATCACGATCTTTAAGTGATGTTTATTTACTACAGTTCTACTTTTTAAAATATCTTAACTTCAGTTTGTTGTCCGTCCCACAATATCAAATACAAAAATATGTTCTTATAAAGATGTTTGTAAATGATTCTTCTCTACATAACAGAACAATAATAATGCAGGTGTTCGTATTTAAAAAAATACGAGTACTTATAAAAACAAAAACAAACAAATAATAATAATCGAGTGGGGCTAACAACTACAATGACAAGAGAAGAAAAGCACTCAAAATAACAACAAATACTATTTTATAAAAGTGGAGTGTAAGAGAGTGGTATCCAAAAATATGTAGAGAGAACTTGTTGTGATATTGAATACAACTACAATAAAAACAATACGAAATCTGATACTTTTTGCAATTGCGTTCAAATAGAAGCAAAATATACACGCTAATAACAACAACAAATATTAAGACAAAGCGCGTAACCAGACACTGACTGGTGGAAGAGCCCAAAAGCCCACAACGAGAGTAACACAGTTAAAGATGTACAAATCGATCGAGCAAAAACAAAGCCGATATCAATAGAGTAAAAAAGTAAAGTTTGAGTTAAAAGAAAAAAAAAAAAAAAAAATAATAATAAAAATAAACACAACAGTAAAAAGCAACAACTCATTATTAAAACTTGAAAAAAAATATTTATTTGCGCTGTGAGTTTTAGAAAAAAACCCATGCAAGACAAGACAAACGCGTTTTAAGCGTCGTTAAGTGAGGAACACAAGAAATAAGAAATCAATTTAATGAAAGCGCGCGCGTGTGTAATTAAGTGAAAATTAATTATTGAAAAATTATACATAGTATTTTAAGAAGAAATAAAACCCACAAATACAATAAAAATTCAATATACTAAAAAAAGTGTTTAAAAGTTTAAAATAATAAAATTAAAAATGGTGGAAACCACAACTGTAACACGCACTACGGAATTACCAGTTCCTGCAACTACTCCAGCAGCACCCATACGTATTAACACTACGTCCCCAACGACCACCACCTCTGCTGCCACTACCGCTGCTGGGGCTAGGCAAAATGATGAAGTCACTCGTGGTATTTATAATTTAAAAATGATCTTATTCCTGCTGCTCCTTCCTTTGGTGCTTTTTGCAGTATTTCTAAAACATCTGTTGGATTATTTATTTGGTTTGGGCCTTAAAGAGAAAGATGTGGCTGGAAAAGTGGCTTTGGTAAGTGTTATTTTTATATCATCATCATTTATTTATACGCGTAGTATACATGTAATCCATATATGGATGTTTCACATCTTAAAAACTCCAAAATTAAATTAAATCGGAATAAAATAAATAAAAAACAACAAAGGCAAAGTCAAAACAAAACATGTTTTGTTTTTAAGCTGAAGTTGTTGTTGTTTAATTTGTCATAATTTTAAAATTCCTCCTACATTTATTATGACGATGTACAGTGGAGCTGAATAAGCAATGTGTGTTCTTAAATGTAAAATACTATTTTGCAGTAGTGTAGAATCACTAACTAGAACAAAAATTTGTGACAATTTAGAGAATACCTATAAAAGAGAATTTATGGTGAGGAAAATTAGTGTGAAGTGCTACTACTATCCGATTACACAGGCCAACAAAATTAATAAAAGCTTAAAAATTATCTCGAAGAAAGAGGAGTTAAATCTTTGTGTTAAAGTCGATAGTTTGGACTTTCAGACAACATAACAAACAAAAGTTAGTTCGCGTTGATGAATTTGGAAAAGAATACTATGTCAAAAATTTGTTGGTCTGTGTTATCATAGTACATACTTTAATGATCATTAAAATTAATTCCGAATAGTATACTACGTCTTCACTACAACGAACTAATATTCCCATTATTTTTGAACCAAAATTTCATTCATGTGACACCCTAGACCCGCTTCGGAGGTGCATATTGTATCAGTCTAATTTTTCAAGAGTTTGCTGAGTATTTCTGGTTCTACCCAACTAATATCTCGGACAATATTGGTCATAAAGGGTATATATTATATAGTTTAGGGGAACAAAATTTCATTCATGTGACATCCTAGACCCGCTTCGAAGGTGCATATTGAATCAGTCTAATTTTTCAAGAGTTTTCTGAGTATTTCTGGTTCTACCCAACTAATATCTTGGACGATATTGGTCATAAAGGATATATATAGTTTAGGGGTCGAATCACTTATGAGTGAGTCTTTTCTACTAACAAGACGTCTGGCTGTTTTCCTAAACGTCAGTGTAAATTTTGACTATTTATTTCACATTCCCAAAGTCATTTGCTTTGCAGCTAGTTATAATTCTGAATTTAAAAGTTAGGGTTATATTTCAGTTAAGAAAATGTCAAAAACTTTTCTACACCTCTAATCCCACTGTTAGACATCAGCAATTAAGAAAAACAATCACCTCTCAGTAACATTTCTAAAGACAAGTTTTTGCTTTAGCTTTTTTCTTCAAGAGAAATTAAATTAAAAGAAAGGCCTAAAAAAAGAATGTTTTGTTTTGAGTTTCCCCAATTATTAACAACAACTATGTATGCTGCTATTGATATTGCTGCTTGTTTTCTCGTCTGTCTTTACTCTTAATATTGGTTCTCTTATCAATAACGTCATCAATGAAATAACAAGTTTTTGAACTTAAACTTTATATATGAAAAAAACGTCGCTTTTGTTGTAATTTCACTTTTGTTTTTGCTGCTTTTTTGTTGTTGTTTTAAAGGCCTTATTTTCACTTTAAGTTATTTTTTTATAAAAAATCTATTTAAATATTTTTTGTTTATTTTTTTTTTAAATAAATAAACTTATTAACTAACGTTGGTATTTAAAAAATGCTGCTTGTATCAATGTTTGTATATTAAACAAAATTTTCATTTTTGCATTTTCTAGGCTTCAAACCATTTGGGTGTGGTTTATTATTATTCCATTAATGGTTAATAGAATTTAACGTTTATTTATTGTATAATTTATGTTTACTAGTTAGTTAATCATAAATAAATATTTATTAGCTGTTTGTTATTGTAATTGTTGTTTTTTTTTCTTTCGTTCAGTATTGTTTACTTATTTTGCTCCATAATTTGTGGTGGTTTTGTCTAGAAAAGGTAAACAAAAATAATATTTGCAAATGTTCATTGTGGGGGGTTTAAGTCTTGGCTAAGTTTAAATTGGTGATATGATGCAATGATCTAATAATGAGATCATGATAGCATAAATTGTATTAAGACTCTTATATTAATTGGTCAATAAGTTTATTTCTTCGACTTATTAACAGTTTAGACAAAGAATAGTGATCATATTGAAATAGGCAAATTACAAGTGTTTTATAACATATCAAGTCCCTTAAAAGCATTTTCAATTATTCTTTCCCTTTTAAGCTAATTGCCTCTTGAAGTTTTTAACTTTGCTTATTTAATGATCAGAATATGGCCCTTATTAATTTCGAGTAGACGATTTTATATTAATTATATTTTGAATATTTTTTTCTAATAAATTATTTTTAACTTATCGAGGGACTATATATATATATATATATATATATATATATATATATATATATATTGTAAAAAAAAAAATTTTAAAATATTCACCAACTAGTGTTCTCCTGAAAACTTGTTATTTGAGATAGAGACTATCCCCCTTATTCACAAACAAACATTTTATTTTATAAACAGTTTATAAAGTAGATTTTGTATGGAAATTTTGTTTTGTAAACCTTTTATAAAATAACAATGTTGTTTGTGAATAAGGGGGATAGTCTCTATCTCAAATAACAAGTTTACAGGAGAGCACTAGTTGGTGAATATTTTTAAATTTTTTTTTTCTACAATATTTTTCTAGGACTTTCTTTCAGGAATATGAGGACTTTTTCCAGGAATATGATGTTTTGGTTGAAAATCAATATTATATGGCTAAAAACGACAACGAAATTAAATAAATTAGTATCATCTTGAAAATCAGCAGGTTCATTTTAAATATTTTGACGGATTTATGTTCAGCATGTCGAAATAAACTGAAATGTACTAAAAATAATAGAGTTTAAAGCAATTTTTTGGAATAGATAGATAGATAGATAGATAGATAGATAGATAGATAGATAGATAGATAGATAGATAGATAGATAGATAGATAGATAGATAGATAGATAGATAGATAGACAGATAGACAGATAGATAGATAGATAGATAGATAGATAGATAGATAGATAGATAGATAGATAGATAGATAGATAGATAGATAGATAGATAGATAGATAGATAGATAGATAGATAGATAGATAGATAGATAGATAGATAGATAGATAGATAGATAGATAGATAGATAGATAGATAGATAGTAGATAGATAGATAGATAGATAGATAGATAGATAGATAGATAGATAGATAGATAGATAGATAGATAGATAGATAGATAGATAGATAGATAGATAGATAGATAGATAGATAGATAGATAGATAGATAGATAGATAGATAGATAGATAGATAGATAGATAGATAGATAGATAGATAGATAGATAGATAGATAGATAGATAGATAGATAGATAGATAGATAGATAGATAGATAGATAGATAGATAGATAGATAGATAGATAGATAGATAGATAGATAGATAGATAGATAGATAGATAGATGATAGATAGATAGATAGATAGATAGATAGATAGATAGATAGATAGATAGATAGATAGATAGATAGATAGATAGATAGATAGATAGATAGATAGATAGATAGATAGATAGATAGATAGATAGATAGATAGATAGATAGATAGATAGATAGATAGATAGATAGATAGATAGATAGATAGATAGATAGATAGATAGATAGATAGATAGATAGATAGATAGATAGATAGATAGATAGATAGATAGATAGATAGATAGATAGATAGATAGATAGATAGATAGATAGATAGATAGATAGATAGATAGATAGATAGATAGATAGATAGATAGATAGATAGATAGATAGATAGATAGATAGATAATTTTCAAAATATATTCTGTTGAATATAGTCCCTCGTTATGATATTATCCAAAAAAATATAATAATTATACAATTATCGTAATGAAAACTTTATAAGCTATTAAGTTTCATCAACAACATTTTATTTCTTATGAACATTTTCAACTTAATGATATAAAATTTTCCATTATTTTTATTAAAATCGTCTCGATTTTGTTATTTTCTTAATTATAGATTTTAATTTTTCCAAAAACTTTTATGTGCTTTTCACGCTTAAGTGATTTTTTCTTGAAAGCATCATTAAGACAATTTACTTTTAAGTTGCCCTCTTCATAAAATGTTCATACATGTTAACGATGAAAACAGATGAAGAGATCGTGCGGAATATACATACATACATACATATGTTTAGTTTGTTGTTTTAAAGGTAACAATTTGAAATAATTGAGGAGTAGAATCTGAACTTTTCAAGCTATAGCTCCATCCATTAATGTGTGAGATCGAATTTTTACTCATTAGAAATTCCTGTCATTGGATTTAAATAAATTGGTTCAACAGAAAATATTTATTGAACAATTTGTTTGATTTGTGTGATTTAGACTGAAAATAGTTTTTAAATTTTATATAAAAAACACCCAGTATTTTTCATACTAAATTGTAAATATTATTCTACGATCATGTTTCTAAATGCGGGCCTTTAAAATTTCATAGAAAAATATTAATTTTTAAGATCTTGGGAATTTTTTTCAAAGGAGTGTCAAGTTTATTTATTGTTAATATTCGTATGACGATCATTAGTATTTCATTTCTATTTACAAAATATGTGATTTATACAATTTTTTATAAAAAAAAAATCTGCTATATATGATGCGGTAAACTGTGGTCACTACACTTAGATTAAAAAGTTTATAACTGAGGTTTAATTCAATTGATAGTATTAATAATTATTTAAAAACGATTTAACTATAAATTAGCAAAAAAAAAAAGAAACATTATTGATAAACACGATCGATTTAGATAAATTACTAATTTCTTTTATTTTGAAATTTTTTTTTTAAATATCTTTAGACATTCATTTAAGTATTTGTTAAAGTTTCTTTTACTTTGAAATCAGGTTTCAGACATTCATTTTAATCTTTTAAAGTCTTTTTTTTTCAAATCATATATAAAATTATTATCATTATTGTAATTAATTTATATAGTTCAACAGGTCGTAGCCTCCTCATCACTGCATTTGAAAAGCGAGGTAGAGACAACAAATTGTGTTTATGTGTATTATTTTAGTTTTCACAAATTATAGGGTTACAAATGTCGTCGTTAACATTTAATTAAACAAGATACAAATTTACAATACTATACAGCCAGAGAAACACAATAACAATAAAGCATTTAGGGTGCTTTAACAAAAATATGAATGAGTCAAGCGAATGAATGAATTTTGTTTTTAACCCATTGATGTATTAATAAATAAATGTACGTGAATTATTATAACAATATTAAAGTATTTTTTTTTTAATTTGCTTAAAATATTTCCAGTATTCTGAAACTTTTTAATAAAATTAGTTTCATATGGTTTATAACAAAAAAATGCACGATTGTGGGTTAAAATAATTGATCTATGTATTAAATTTTGTTTTGATTTAAAAAAGCGACTTTTTGCTTAAAAATGTTATTGGGGATAAGTTATTTTCCAAATTGTAATGATATTTTTAATTATAAGAATACTGAAAATTTAATTTTTCGGACACAACAGCAGAATGGAATGCATTTTCGGGTACGCTACGGCCTGAAAGCAATCTTCTTGTGCCATATGCTATGTCACTTGTAAACATCCTCTATTTAACACACAAGTTGTGAAGAAATGGAATATGGGAATTGTAACAAAGGGGAAATAATGGACCGATTTTAACCAATAGGCTTTGACCCTGGAACAATAGAAGATCACGTACCAAATTTCATTGAATTATCTTTAAAATTGCAACCTGTAGTTTGATTACAAAGTTTACTGGACGGACGAACAGACGGACATATGTAGCTAAATCGACTCAGAAAATGATTTTAAGCCGGTTGATATATTTTAAGGTGGGTTTAGGATCAATATTGTTGCGCGTTACCAACATCAGCACGAACCCAATATACCCTCCCCACTAAAGTGGTATAAAAACAGTTACGGAAAGAGCAACAAATGAAAATGAAAAAATTATTATACATTTTTAAAACATATTTCCCTTAACGGGTTAAACTATTTAAAGATGTGATGCAATAGAATAATTTGAATAACTTTATTTTTATACATTTTTGTGTTGTTATTGTCATTAAAACAAGAGATCTAAAGAAAAAATTGAGAGAAGGGAAATAAATATTTTTTCGTATAGAAAAAAAACAAAAAGGTTAACAATTAAGAGAACTAAATGCTGTTAATGCCTGTATGAGGCATGCATATGCTTAAAAAAATTCACTTCCAACTAATCACTTTACACACGTACTTTGAAAAGTTCTCACACTCATACCGACATGCGAAAATATGTAAAAATAATTTTATTGTTTACAAATTAACTTAACAAATATTAAATAACAATGAAATTGTAAAACAATTAAATACAGACACATACATAATTCAAAAACATTAAATATTGTATTAACATTATATTAAACAAACCACAATAGGGTTGTTAAAACAACTTTATTAAAATATAATTTTCAAAATGTATTTTAATTGTATAAAACAATAAAAATCTCCCTTAGAGCAATAAGAATATACTTAATAAAAAGTGAATTACTAATTGTATTGTTGTCTGCAGGTTACAGGTGGTGGCAGCGGTTTGGGCCGTGAAATTGCTCTTGAATTGGCACGTAAAGGTTGTAAAATAGCTGTGGTCGATGTAAATTCCAAAGGCTGTTATGAAACTGTTGATATGATTTCAAAAATTCCCCACGGTGTAGCCAAAGCTTACAAGGTAAGTTCTAACTAAAAAAAATATATAATTTTTACTTGTTAAAATAAAATATTTATTTAAAAAAAAATGTTCATTTAGACTGATGTCTCATCGCCACGTGAATTACAACTGATGAGTTTAAAAATTGAAAAAGAATTGGGCCCCGTGGAAATTCTAGTTAACAATGCGTCTCTCATGCCCATGACATCGACACCACAGTTGAAAGATGATGAAATTGAAAAAATTATTACCGTTAATTTGGGATCATACATTATGGTACGTGATTTTTTGTGTATTTTTTATTTTAACAACATTTATTATTCTCAGTTTAAATGTAAAATTCATTTATTGAAATTTTAAATGAAATTAATAATATATTTCAACATTGTCTTTTTTATTTATTGGTTGCATTTAATTGTTGTTTGGTTTGTGCGCCTCAGACCACTAAAGCCTTTTTACCCAAAATGGTGGCACGTAAATCTGGACATGTAGTTGCTGTTGCGGCATTGTCTGGTAAGTTGTAATACATTTTTTCAATACTTGTCATTTATGGCTGTTATATGCATTGTTTCAAAAGGATGAGTAACAATATTTTTTATATATTATTATTACCGGGAATTGTTATATGAGTTTGTGTGTTTAAACTTTTAAGAATACGTCAAAATAAATAAATTATAATACCCCTGATGTACAATATAAAATGTATGATCATAATGCTATAAATTAATTAATTTAACCTAATGAAATCTATTATTATTTATTGACCATATATTAATTATACCCTACACCACTTTAGTGGGGAGGGTATATTGGATTTGTGCTGATGCTTGTAACATACAAAAATATTCGTCCTAGACCCACCTTAAAGTATACCAATCGGCTTAGAATCGTTTTCTGAGTCGATTAAGCTATGTCCGTCCGTCTGGCTGGCTGGCTGTCCATGTAAACCTTGTGCGCAAGGTACAGGTCGCAATTTTCAAGATAATTGGATGAAATTTGGCACGCACGTTTTATTTGACCCAAGGACGAAGCCTATTGAAAATGGTTGAAATCGGTCCATTATTTCACCTAGCCCCCATAGAACAGAACCCCCGAAAAGGGCTTTTGAGCTCATAATTATGTTAAATATACAGATATATCGATAAAATACGGCACAACTAAGTTTTATAGAAGTCTTGGTGACCCTGCCAAATTTCATAAAGATCGGGCCCCATTTGACCCTAGCTCCCATACAAAGTCCTCTTCAGAAAATTACTTGAATGTTCCAAATTAACTTATAAACACAAATATCGCGATGAAATTCAGCACAATAAAATATTATGTAAATATAAATATATTCACAAAATTTTATCGGGCTTGGTCCATATTTGCCCCTAGTCCCCATATAAAGCCTCTTTCAGAAAATTAGTTTTTCATCCATAAATTGCTTAAATGTATCGGAACAATGAAATATTGAAGATAAATGCTTTATTATGAAAAATAAGTCACATATAATATTCATAAATGGTGTAGGGTATCATATGGTCGGCCACGCCCGACTATACTTTCTTACTTCTTTTCTTTTAAAATGGTTATATTGGAAGTGATTAATTATGGACCGATCCTCCTAAAATTTAATAAAGATTTTGGTTTCAATAAAATTTCATTGCTATACTTATATGGTTCTTTTTTACGTCGAATTTCGTATTTTGAAGTAATTTATGAGCCCTATAAAAATTGATAAAGGGATTTTAGTTCCTATAATACTTGTGAATGTCGAATTTCGTTGATATATTGGAATTTTGTAGCAAATTATGAGCGTTAACATAATTTTCTAGGCAGACTTCATACGGGGAGTAGGGTCAACTGTGCACCGATCCTGAAAAAACTTGACAGTATGATTTAAGTAGCTATAGAACATGTTTATGTCGAATTTTACCTCTATACATACTTTTATAAGCCAGTTATGCGCGTTATAGTAATTTTCTGAAGAGGATCTTATTTATGTGGGAGGTAGGAACAATTGTGGACCTGATCTTCACAAAATTTGCTAGAGAAATTTTATATCCTATAAATTCGGTTTATGTCGAATTTTGTAGCAAATTAGTAGCGTTAAAGAAAAATTTTACAAAAACATTTGTCCTTCTATAAAACTTGTTTATGTCGATCTCCATCGTTATACATGCTTTTTGAAATCTGTAATATTCTGAAGAAGACCTTATATGGGGCTTGGTGAAATCATGGACCTATAATGCCTATTTAATACCAAACTAAACTTGTTCCGATTTGACTCTATCGTGATTTCACGAATGTCGGATATGGAATGAGGACCCAGAATATACGTATACACTTTTATTGGTCTTAAAATATACGTATACACTTTTTTTGGTCTTAGACCAATATTTCAATGTGTAACAAACGGAACCATCTTTTTTGATGGTGGGTAGTTTACCGTTACAAAATATTCTAAATATTTCAACACTGAACAATAATTCTGACAATAGAATTCGATAAAAAAAAGAATAAATTTTTCATTTAAGTATTGGAAATGAAAAATCGTAAGTAACTTATTATTGGACATTGATGAAAAAAGCGGTAATTCGATCTCTGGTTTCACAATTAAAATTGTTATTGTATCATACCGCTTGGTATGTTTAAATTTGGAAATATATTTATTTTATTTCCTATGCTTTTCTTAATATCGTAAATAAGTACCTAATCTAAAATGTTTTTTTTTAAATAAGTACTTAAAAATACTAACATTATTCTTAAAAAAATATATATAACATTTGTAAATAATACATTGTAAATAATATAAAATAAGAATAAATTCTACAAATTAAGCATATTTTCAGCAAAGAGGTTAGTATTACTATAAAATTCATGTTTTTCAATTTTCTTATTAAATTTTTAACAATGTCAAATATTATTTTTTTAATTTAAGGTCTTGTACCTTTACCCGGTGCTGGCATTTATACTGCAACCAAATATGGTATTATTGGCTTTATGGAGGCATTGAGATGTGAATTACGTTTATCCAGTAGCGATTATGTACGTACAACAGTGGCCAATACATATTTTATGAAGACAAGTGGCGATTTGCATTTACTCAGTGATGCAGGGTAAGTTTGTTCAATTATAAATATTGTTTCATTATTGAATGGTTCGGTAGAGCAAAAACATAATTATAGTTTTTTATTTCTTTTTTTTTGTAATTAAACAAAATAAGTGTTGTATTCTTGTGTGTTTACATTTTCATAAAGAATTTTAAATTCCTTTTTAAAACTTCACCGTCAAATTGTTAAACTTAAAAAGCAATATGCTGGTTTGTCTGTAAATTTTCACGATAATGTTTACACAACAGATAACATCCTTCTTATATCCATTGTCCTTTTTAAAATACACACAGAAATGCGTTCAAACTTCTGAATTTAAAAGCAAAAAATATGTGCACATATATGTATTTCAATAATTGTGTATGTGTCTTTCAATTTACAAAAGACCACATAAGCTGCTATAATTGATATCTTAATTATTTTTTATATGCTCTACAAGTATTTTCTTTATATAACAATATTTCATTGTCGTATATTTGTTTTTTTTTTGTATTCATTCCTATTTTCGTTTTTATTTAATTTTTTACTTAAAAAGCATCTCGAGCAGTTATCCTGGTTTACCAACAGCATATGTGGCAGAGAAAATTGTCCGTGGCATGTTACTCAATGAGCGTATGGTGTACGTGCCAAAAATATTTGCATTAAGTGTCTGGTTGCTCAGGTAAGTTAATAACGAAAGTTAAAGCAAAAACACACAGCTTGAATTGATTCAACAAAAAAGAGTTTTTAGTGTGAAGGAAACAACAACAATCGTTTTTTTTCCACAAACAACAAATTTATTTTATAAACATGAATATTAGGCTGGATCTAACAATAGTCGACGAAAATCAGCTCCTGAACCGGACAGACTGTGTATTCATGTAAACATTCTTGTTAACGAAAGGTTACAATTTTCAAGTCTAGTCTATAATCTAGACTATAGTCTAGCATATAGTCTAGTATATAATCTAGTCTATAGTCAATAGTCAAGTCTATAGTCTAGTCTATAGTCTAGTCTATAGTCTAGTCTATAGTCTAGTCTATAGTCTAGTCTATAGTCTAGTCTATAGTCTAGTCTATAGTCTAGTCTATAGTCTAGTCTATAGTCTAGTCTATAGTCTAGTCTATAGTCTAGTCTATAGTCTAGTCTATAGTCTAGTCTATAGTCTAGTCTATAGTCTAGTCTATAGTCTAGTCTATAGTCTAGTCTATAGTCTAGTCTGTAGTCTAGTCTATAGTTCTGATCTATAGTCTAGTCTAGTCTATAGTCTAGTCTATAGTTCTGATCTATAGTCTAGTCTAGTCTATAGTCTAGTCTATAGTCTAATCTATAGTCTAGTCTATAGTCTAATCTATAGTCTAGTCTATAGTCTAGTCTATAGTCTAGTCTATAGTCTAGTCTATAGTCCAGTCTATAGTCTAGTCTATAGTCTAGTCTATAGTCTAGTCTAGTCTATAGTCTAGTCTATAGTCCAGTCTATAGTCTAGTCTATAGTCTAGTCTATAGTCTAGTCTATAGTCTAGTCTATAGTCTAGTCTATAGTCTAGTCTATAGTCTAGTCTATAGTCTAGTCTATAGTCTAGTCTATAGTCTAGTCTATAGTCTAGTCTATAGTCTAGTCTATAGTCTAGTGTATAGTCTAGTCTATAGTCTAGTCTATAGTCTAGTCTATAGTCTAGTCTATAGTCTAGTCTATAGTCTAGTCTATAGTCTAGTCTATAGTCTAGTCTATAGTCTAGTCTATAGTCTAGTCTATAGTCTAGTCTATAGTCTAGTCTATAGTCTAGTCTATAGTCTAGTCTATAGTCTATAGTCTAGTCTAGTCTAGTCTATAGTCTAGTCTAGTCTATAGTCTAGTCTAGTCTATAGTCTAGTCTAGTCTATAGTCTAGTCTAGTCTATAGTCTAGTCTAGTCTATAGTCTAGTCTAGTCTATAGTCTAGTCTAGTCTATAGTCTAGTCTAGTCTATAGTCTAGTCTATAGTCTAGTCTATAGTCTAGTCTATAGTCTAGTCTATAGTCTAGTCTATAGTCTAGTCTATAGTCTAGTCTATAGTCTAGTCTATAGTCTAGTCTATAGTCTAGTCTATAGTCTAGTCTATAGTCTAGTCTATAGTCTAGTCTATAGTCTAGTCTATAGTCTAGTCTATAGTCTAGTCTATAGTCTAGTCTATAGTCTAGTCTATAGTCTAGTCTATAGTCTAGTCTATAGTCTAGTCTATAGTCTAGTCTATAGTCTAGTCTATAGTCTAGTCTATAGTCTAGTCTATAGTCTAGTCTATAGTCTAGTCTATAGTCTAGTCTATAGTCTAGTCTATAGTCTAGTCTATAGTCTAGTCTATAGTCTAGTCTATAGTCTAGTATATAGTGTAGTACATACTTAATCTAGTCTATAATATAGTATATAGTCTAGTCTATAGTCTAGTCTATAGTCTAGTCTATAGTCTAGTCTATAGTCTAGTCTATAGTCTAGTCTATAGTCTAGTCTATAGTCTAGTCTATAGTCTAGTCTATAGTCTAGTCAATAGTCTAGTCTATAGTCTGGCCTATAGTCTAGTATAGCATAATCTAGTCTTTAGTTTAGTCTATAGTCTATTTTATAATCTAGTTTATAGTTTAGTCTATAGTATAGTCTATACTTTAGTCTATAGTCTGGCCTATAGCCTAGTCTATACTATAGTCTATAGTATAGTCTAGTCTATAGTCAATCTAGTGGAAAATTAGATTAGAGAAAAGACTTGAGTTTGAAGGACATACAATTCGGTCCATAATTAGCCTCCAAATTCTATTACTTAAACATCCACAAGGGTATACCATGAATGGGTTGTTAAATGGCAGTCAATGAATTTTTATAGAGATGAGTTTATTAAAAGAGAAATTGTATGATTCTGTGCCAAAAGGGCCTCAGGGTTCTGATCTCCTTATATTAAACATCTCATTATACCACAATTTCGTCTAAGGGCGCAAGAAATACAAATGAATAAATAAAGTAAACTTTATAAATCTGGGAGGTCACCCTAATGTATGAAAAAGAAGAATATCAAACACTGCATGCATTTGATAACTACATTCTCATACTATCTTCAAAACACGTGCTGCTACTAAAGTTGCTTAATTTAACTTAAGTACAATATACAATATAATAATGTACCACATATTTGGTGCAACTTTTTCGTTGAGTAAAAGTACCACAATAATTTCATAGTCCTTAGCACAAAATATTATTTAACTAACTCAAATGAATTGATCCGCTTTGAGTTAAATAAGATATGTATTTATGAACATTTGGAGTCAAACATTTTGATAGTTATGATAACTGGAGGAAATACATACATATATTATAATGCCGATCATATGGCAACTTCTCAGAAATTAATAAATTTTCATCATTTAGGTATCCAGGCATTTTTATTGCAAGATTTTTTAAATAAAAAGTACTTTTTTGGGAGATTAGTACCAATTTCTAAACAATAAAGTTCATCTCTATTGGTAGTTAGTAATTCAGCCCGTATAGTATTTCGAATATAGTACATATGTACATATGTATGTACATTAGGGTGGACAATAAGTGGAAATTGTTGATGTTATCACCGAAAATGTAGTTCATTTTAAAAATATTTCTTAAAATTTTTCCTGATATCAATATTTGGTAAGCTTTGAACAAAGGATAAAATGTTCCCTTTTAGAGGTTTTTATGATTTTTGTTCAAATAAAATGTATACTAATTTAGGTATCCCAATCTTGTGATAGCTGTTTATTAAAAGCGTTTATAGTATCGTCACCCGAAATGCAAAAAGAAATATCAACCAAAACATTTTAAAACGACTTTTTGATTGAAAATGGTCCACGGCATCAAAATACATGTTATCGCAAATGTTGTCAAAAACTCCGATTTTATTGACATAAAATTCAAAAGAGTGTAACAACACATTAGTCATTTCCACAAGTCAGAAAGTCTCCCATATAAGGTCCCTCCAGATCTTTACTGTTACGAGTATAGAGATGAAATTTGGCATAAGTAATTTTCTTACGAGCCAAAACCTAAGAAACTTTTATAGGAACGTAAATCTTCCTATCAAATTTCATGCGGAAAGTGTCGGGTTGTTCGATGTAAACATGTTTTTTATGAACCAAAATCGGACTAAAAAAATGTATGAACAATTTTATGAAAAACGGTCAATAATTCACTCTACCTCTCATATAAGATCCTCTTCAGTAAATTTGATGAGTAATATCACCCTGATATTTATAGGAGAGCATACCTTTTACGGCATACGGTTTGATGGTGGGTATATTAGATTCGACATAGTCGAATATAACAGTTTTACTTGTTTTATTTAGTTTTTTGTCTTTTCCGTAGAATTTTTAAAAGTGTTGTTACGCCCTTTTGCATTTCAGGTGACGATATGTATACTTCATAAGATTTTTAATTGATGTATTATAATTCTTTATGATTTAATTCAGATAAAATTTGGTCTATATAAAAACTTAAAAAATATATATAAAACAAGTAAGAAATTATAGTCGGGCGAGGCCGACCATATAATACCCTACATCTTTGACAAAAATATAATGTGATTAAGTTAAGATTATAAGTTGCCATAATAAAGCATTTAAGTTGATTTGTTCCTTGCCTTAGATATACATACTTAAGCCGTTTATTGTTGAATAAAATTGTGGACATTTAAGTGAAATTTTGATGGAGGCTTTTCATAGGGGCTAGGTTCATATGAGAACCTATTACTATGAAATTCGTGAGGGTCATCAAGTCTTGTATACAACTTGGTTTTTGCAGCTTTTTGTCGAGATATGAGTATATTAAACATAATTATGAACTTAAAAGCCCTATTCGGCGGGTTCAGTTGTATGGGGGCTAGGTGAAATAATGAACCAATGTTAACCATTTTCAATAGGTTTCGTCTACATAGAAGAACATGTGCCAAATTTCATTGAATTATCTCCAAAATTGCGACCTGTAGTTTGATTACAAGGATTACAAGCCCTATGGGGGGGGGGGGTCCAGTTGTATGGGGGCTAGGTGAAATAATGGACCGATCTTAACCATTTTCAATAGGCTTCGTCCCTGGGACAATAGAAGATCATGTACCAAATTTCATTGAATTATCTCCAAAATTGCGACTTGTAGTTTAATTACAAGGTTTACAATCCCTATTGGGGGGTTCAGTTGTATGGGGGCTGGGTGAAATAATGGAACGATCTTAACCATTTTCAATAGGTTCGTCCCTGGGACAATGGAAGATCATGTACCAAAGTTCATTGAATTATCTTCAAAATTGCGACCTGTAGTTTGATTACAAGGTTTACATGGACGGACGGACGGACAGACGGACGGACTCAATCAATCGACTCAAAAAATGATTCTGAGCCGATTGGTATACTTTAAGGTGGGTATAGGTCCAATATTATTGTGCGTTACAAACATCAGCACAAACGCAATATACCCTCCCCACTGAAGTGGTGTAGGGTATAAAAAAAAACATCACAAAACTCCTCTCAAAAGCATTTCACGTGATATACAAATTTAATATCATTCTTTTGCGAGGAATACAATTTGAAAACTCTTAAAAAAGACGTTTTTATCCTTAGACCCAGCTTATTAATTATTCACCCCATCACAAACATTTTGAGAAACATTTTTAGAATGTACTAAGCTTGCATTTTCAGTGGAGACACCCTAATGTGCATACAATGATAGCAAACATATTCGTTTCAAAAAATTTAATTACATTATATAAAAATAGTGTGGTTTCTGTATGTTTACTTTTCTTTACACATTTATAGTGTTTTTTTTTAATTCTCAAGTTCCTTTAAAAAAATATTATATTTTTTCAAATACAATCATTAACATTTTTTTTTTAATTTTAGATTATTACCCACCAAATGGCAGGATTACATGCTCTTAAGATTTTATAATTTTGATGTACGCAGCCATCATTTGTTTTATTGGAAATGAATTGAAAAGAAACCCAAAAAATCAATTATTTTACGTGCCAAACTACAAAATCTCTTTAAATAGTTAAAGGAAAAGAAGAAATTTTATTTAAAATAAAAAGTATCAAAATAGTATATGTTTAATTTTATATGTATACAATATTTGTAATTTAAAATCCAATTTAAATTTACTGGTCATTAAGCTTCTTCTTTTTTTTATAAAGAATATCATATATACATACATAATACTGCTTTTACATAAATATTTGTATTTTATTATTACTAAATAGTATTTATTTTTTTATTTTGTTTTTACATTTATTAATAATAACTGTATTGTATTTATATTTTAAGTATAATTTAATAATAAAGTTTTACCATTATTTGATTAAATATAATTTTAATAAAAATTTTTAATAAAATGTTATATATTAAGAAACAAATTTAATTCCGACAACGGAGTAAAAAGGGTTGATGCCTCTGACTTGCTCAAAAAAAAAGAATACGTAACTTCTAATAACTACTTATGTATTTTATAATTTTCTTGTTTATGCTGTTATACTACATCCTTGATATTTAATTTTTATAATTTTTATAAAAGTATATATATTCTGGGTCCTTATTAGATTCTAAGACGATCTAGCCATGTCCGTCCGTCTGTCTGTCTGTTGAAAACAAGATAGAGTCTAAACGGGAACAGCTAGAGAGCTGATGTTTTTAGTTGATGCCGGTTGTTTGGTATTGAAAATGGACAATATTGGTCCACGATTTCGCCCCATATAAGGTCCCCTTAAGAAAATTATTTTAAATCTCTTTGTAAAATCTTATAAAAAAGCATCTACAGCGGTAAGATTCGACATGAACATATTTATAGGAACCTGAATCTCTTTGTCAACTTTTATAAAGATCGACCCATAATTGACCCTATTCGCTATATAACGTCCCCTTCAGAAAATGTCTTTAAAGCTCATAACTGCCTACAAAAGCATTTACAGCGGTAAGATTCGACATGAACATATTTTTTAAGAACCAAATCTCTTTGTCAAATTTTATAAGGATCAGTACATAATTCACCCCCATATTAGGTCCCCTTCAGAAAATAACTTTAACTCTCAGTACTGCTCTAAAAGTATGAATACAGCGATGACACTTGACGCGAATATGTGTCATATAAGCCAAAATCTCTCTACAAAATTTTATGAGGTTCGGCTCATAATTGACCCTAACCCCCATATAAGGTTCCCGTCAGAAAAAACTATCGATTTATAATTGATCCTATTCCTATTAATAATAGCAGTGTAGTAGTGAAATTTATCGTAAACAAGTTTTATAGCAACAAAAATCTCTCTAAAGGCCATATTCCGAAAATCACTCTGATGTCTATATTAATTTCGAATAGTAAAATTCATCATATGTACATATTTATATCAAATAAATGGGAAGACCTTCCAAAATTTACTTTAATTTAACGACACAAAATTTGATAGTGGATATAGAAGATTCGGCATGGACGAATATAACACTCTTACTTGTTTTGATTAAAGCCTTATTCATAATAAATGTTTATGAATAAGGCCTTAAAATTTTTATTTTATAAAATATTTATAAAACTAAATTTTCCAAAAAAATGTTTTATAAACCTGTGAAATAATTAAAATTTAATTATAAATAATATTAAGGTATTTACCTTAAATATGGACATTACCATGAAAAAGTCTACCAACACATAATTTATATACAATTTACAACACATGCTTTTATAATTGGAATGTAAGGTTCATCATAGCCGAATATATCACTTTTTCCAGTCAATTTATAATTTATAGTTTTCGATAAAACTTCGAATATTGAAATGTATTCCTCTAGATGTTTGACTTTGACATAGTAGCCTACTATTTATGCGATCCCTTTCAAAAAATTAAAGTAGCAAAATATTTATAATTTATCAGTAACCTATTTTTATCTAAAAACACATATTCTTGGAAAGATATAAGAAACCAAATTATTGATATTGAAATTAGATACTTCTATTGTTAATACGACAATGTTTGCAATCTAAACTTTACAATAGTGCTGCTGCCACCTTGTGATATTATTTTACTCCAAATATTTTGAACTTATGCGAACTGATAACAATTTGATGAAAACATGTTAATTTCAATAAATTCTTCGTTTGTAGTCTGGAAAGAGAGAGGAGTGAGGTTGAGGGAATATAGCAAAAACTAGCAAAAGTTTGAAATTGATCGAATAGTATATAGGGAACTGTTGTACCGCGCATGAGGTTTATTTAAAATGCGAATTGTGAGAAACTATTTTCTTTTCAATAAGTGAATTTAAAAGGTACCTTTTAAATAAATATGGGGTTCTTAGTGACTTTGTGTGTTCTAATCATTCTTGCGAATCATCCTATATGGTGTCGGGAATATGAAGAATGTCGGGGCATTACTGAACCTGACACTGTTGTGGCAAGTAAGAAAAGTTGTGCCAAATATATATTTTGTGATGGTGAAAATTCCTATGAAGGAGAATGTTTAGCTGGCAATTATTTTAACGAATTGGAGGGAAATTGTGATGATCCGGAAAATGTTAAATGTGATATTGAACCGAATGATGATGTTAAAAGTATATATGATGAAGATTTTAATCATAAAGAAAATGAAACCGAAACTACGGTTGAAGACGGTGATGATAATGAAAATGTGACAGATGTGGATATAACAGAAATCGATGACTTAGAGGAGATAAAAGGAAATGTCTTTAATATTAACAGTGAAATGCAACAGCAAACTATACCCAAATGTCCACAATTAAATGGTTTTCATAACATCAAACACATTGCCAATACCGAATCGTGCGTAGCGTTTTACACATGTTACAATGGTAATGCCATACCCATGTTGTGTCCGGGTAAAATGTATTTCAATGAAGAGTCGGGTAAATGTGAACCACAAATGCCTGAAAGTTGCAAAGTGAGTAGATTTACAATAATATTAATTGACCATTAAATTGTGATGAAATTATCTCTGTATTTTAGTCTAGATTTTCGGTGCGTTTGAACTGCCACAAGGGAGTATACGACTTTGTGCCTCATCCTTATCGTTGTGAATACTATTTTTATTGTCTGAATGGTTTTTTAATGATTATGCGTTGTCCATATGATTTCACCTGGCATTATGAACGTGGTACTTGTGTTCACAAATCTAAATCGAAATGTTATTTTGAAAAATCTGTTATCTATAACAGAGATAATTAAAAACAAACGATTCTGTTGTGTCTGTGTTTTTTTACGTTTTTTTTTATTACACTGTAGTATATTTATACTGAATTTAAATTTGCCTCCAATAAAAAGTGATTGCTTTACTTTTTGCACGTATGAGTATTTTTTTTTTAATTATTTTCTTGTCTTTTATGTAACTATTTTAATAGTGGAATTTGAATAAACATTTTGGGTATTTTAATTATAAATACGCATGTGATTTACACGCGGTACACTGAAAATCGAGCTTGATAAAAATGACAGTGTAATATTCATATGCATGTATATTAGAGTGCTCCAAAAAAACGAAGTTGCGAATTTTGCCCGTCCCCCCCTCTAGAATTGTTCTATGGGTTGTAAAACTATGTCATACAAAAAATTAGGCTGATAGGATAACGTTAACAGGTGCCGCAACGGCACTAAAGTTTCCAAGTGCATTTACAAGGGGAAAAAATCGATTTTTTTCAGTTTTTGCTAAAATTTTGCCACTTAATAATAAACTTTACAATGTATTGTGATGGAATCGCAATGTACACATAATAAGCTTTTCGGAAAGATATAAAACATAAATATTGGTTGAAAACTTTCAGAGTTATTGCAAATTCCCCAGACCATTAACGTGTCTCACAGCACATGAATTCGAAATGTGACAAAAAAATTAACATTTTTTAGGAAATATTGTAAAAAAACATTTTGTTACTTAAAATATATCTATAATAACTAGAATGTTAGCTTTTGTCTTTATACGATAACGCAAACTTGTTCTCAGCTATGGTTAAAAAAGTTTGAATTTTTCAACGGCCGTTTCAAATCTCCAATTTCAGTTTTTTTGAAACTTTGTTAAACAAATTTTAAAATTTTTAGAAGATCTCATGGGGATTTATGGACAATAGATAAGGGAATAAAACGGTAAAAAAATTAGATCAATAATTCTTACAGTTTAGCTGTACCTGCGATTTGAACTCGGCGGATTTCGGGAAAATCGCATTTTTTTGTAATATATTAGAGAATACGTATTAATTTTTTACTGTTGTACATTTTAAACAAAGTATTTTCAGAGTATTATAGACCAGATAATATAAAATATATATTCCAAGTTTTATTCAATTCGGACATTCTTAACCCATAAAATGTGGAGTTCAAAGGTCAAATTTTGCTATATTTGGGAATTCTCAGTGTACCATATCGAAATATTATGTATTTGTCGGTCATATTTAATAAAGATGACTTGAATTTTTAGTATAAAGTCTTATGTTTAAAATAGCAGCGAAAAAAAGTAAAATTAACCCTTTAAAACACATGGGAAAAATTTAACCCCGAAGATCAAAAAATCGTAAAAACACTATCCATTTGAATAATGCTCTATATAATTAGAGGAATAACATAAATAAAACAAAAAAATATATATTAGGTATAAAAACTTATGAATTAACCCTTTTTGAACCTATAAAGTTTGTATTTTTAGACATATTATGTCGAAAATGGTCCGAAAAAATGGACTACATAAATTATCAGTTTTAAAAACAAAATTTTTCTTTTAAAAATGTACACCTATAGTTTACTCCATAGTCGAAAAGGGTTAAAGTATAATTTTTTATACATAATATATACGTTTTTGTTATATTTCTGCTATTTCTCTAATTATATAGAGCTTTATTCAAATGGATAGTGCTTTTTCAAATTTTTGAACTTTTGTGTTAAATTGTTCCCAAGTGCCTTAAAGTGTTAATTTACCTTTTTTCACTCTATTTTAAATATCGGACTTTATACGATAAATTCCAGTAATTTTTGGTAAATATGGCCAACAAATAAATAATATTTTAATATGGTGCACTGAGAATTCCCAAATATAGCAAAATTTAACCTTTGAACTCCACATTTTATGGGTTAAGAATGTCCGATTTGAATAAAACTTGGAATATATATTTTATATTATCTGGTCTATAATACTCTGAAAATACTTTGTTTAAAATGTACAACAGTAAAAAATTAATACGTATTCTCTAATATATTACAAAAAAATGCGATTTTCCCGAAATCCGCCGAGTTCAAATCGCAGGTACAGCTAAACTGTAAGAATTATTGATCTAATTTTTTACCGTTTTATTCCCTTATCTATTGTCCATAAATTCCCATGAGATCTTCTAAAAATTTTAAAATTTGTTTAACAAAGTTTCAAAAAAACTGAAATTGGAGATTTGAAACGGCCGTTGAAAAAATCAAACTTATTTGACCATAGCTGAGAACAAGTTTGCGTTATCGTATAAGGACAAAAGCTAGTATTCAAGTAATTTTTAGTATATTTTAAGTAACAAAATGATTTTTTTACAATATGTCCTAAAAAATTTTAATTTTTTTGTCACATTTCGAATTCATGTGCTGTGAGACACGTTAATGGCCTGGGGAATTTGCAATAACTTTAAAAATTTTCAACCAATTTTTGTGTTTTATATCTTTCTGAAATGCTTATTCTGTGCACATTACGATTCCTTTACAATAAAGTGCAAAGTTTATTATTAAGTTGCAAAATTTGAGCAAAAACTGAAAAAAATCGATTTTTTCCCCTTGTAAATGCACTTGGAAATTTCTGAGCCGTTGCGGCACCTGTTAACGTTATCCTATCAGCCTAATTTTTTGCATGACATAGTTTTACAACCCATAGAACAATTCCAGAGGGGGGGACGGCCTGTCGGATAAAATTTTTTTTCCTTCATACAAGCTTGGAGCACTCTAATGTATATACTACATGTACATACATTAGAGTGCTCCAAGCTTGTATGAAGGATGTGTAGGCATATGTACATTAGGGTGGATCAAAAATACGCTTTTCTCTCGGATCAACTTCTAATAGTGAAAACTAGAGATCATAGCATTTAAGTCCATTAAAGGAACAGATTACTTTAAATCGATTGAAAGTTATTTATATCGGATTTCATAAAAAAATCTTGAACATAGTCTAATAGAAATCATAGACCGATTTCAATCATAATTTTTATATCCTATACCACTATAGTGGGGAGGGTTGATGTTTGTTACGCACAAAAATAATGGTCCTACACCCACCATAAAGTATATCGATCGACTCAGAATCACTTTCTGAGTCGATTAAGACATGTCCAGCAGGCTAGCTGGCTGGTTGTCCGTGTTAACCTTGAGGGCAAGTTACAAGAGGACGAATCCTATGGATAGTGGTTGAAAGCGGTCCATTATTTCATCTTGTCCCCATACAACCGGACCTCCCGATTTGTGCTTCTTATTCCATAATTATCAATATACTACTACTACTGTTCAAAAATCGGCACAACTAAGTTTTGTATAAGCATAAATGTCACTGCTTATTTTTGTAATAATTGGCCCTTAATGGACCCCCTTTAAAAATGTCTTAATAGTTAAAAAATGTCTTAAACGTCCAAAATTTACTTATAACTGTTAGTATCGCAATGAAATACTGCATAACTAACTGTTATATAAAAATATATCCCTTCTCCAAATTTCATAGGGATCGGTCCATGTTTAACCCTAACTCCCATATAAAGCCACTTTTAGAAAACAAGTTTTTCATCAATAAATTGCTTAAATACTTCGGAGTTAAGGTAAAATTTAACATAAAAGTTTTTTAATGAAAAATAAATATTTTTTAAAATATACTCATGATGTAGGGTATCATATGGTCGGCCATGCCCGACTAAACTTGATGCCCGACTAAACATGATTCTTTTAATACTCTGCTCAATATAGTTCTTCAGGATATATACATTTATAATTAATAAAGCTTGACAATTTAACTCTGTTCATTTACAAATGAAATATTTTACCATTTTAATTTACAAAGTACACTATTTTGCATTCACTTAAATTGTAGAATAATTTATTGATTTTGATTTTTCTGTGATTTTAAAAAATTAACTTTTAATTAACATATATTTATTGTTTATTTCTCATTTAAGAGTTAATTTGTGTGAATATTTTTTTAAATTGTATATTACTACAGGTTATATATTACTAGATATGTATGTATGTATATACATATATACTATATATGCATTAAAGCATGATGTTAATTATTGGGCTACCCAGTTAAGATTTCGAAATTGAATTTATAATTTTAACATGATATACATATGTGTTCGAATCTAAGTTTTCGTGATCGATTAAAAATGATCGATTTTTATACCCTTTACCTTCGTGAGAAGGATATATATGTATTTTATATCGAAATATTATGTAACCGAAGTGCCACGCCCATATTCAAAGTAAGTATTAAAAGTCTTATATCTCAGAAACTTCAATAGCTAGAGTCCTCAAATTTTATGATATCCATATAAAAAATAGGCTAAAATTGGGCGGACTAGCAATAGGGGGCGTGAGACCACCCATATGAACTACATAAATACAAAAATTCGTATATCTGGGAAACTGTTATAGCTAGAATCCTCAAATTCAATGGACTCAATGGACGTGGAAAAATGTGTACTACTCTTTATAGTTAAGATTTCCATTTGTGTTTGCCTGGAAATTTATTCGCTGGTTTATAATCTTTTCCGATATGTAATTGTGGTAATACATATGAGATTAAAAATATTTTATTTTGCATTTATGCACGAAACTCGTCGCTGTGTCAGCAAAAAGAACTATTAATAATTAAAAATAAATATTTTGCTAACTGAAAGTCTTATTGATTATTCATGTGATGTGGTTATAAAAAGTAGAAGATTTTTAACTCTCAAATTTATGAAATTATTTTTAAGATAATTCTCGTTCGAATGTTGAAAAAAAGTACTTCTAGTGAAGTCATTCAGAAGTAATATATGTATAGGTATGTGTGTTAAATTTGTCTAGGCAGAATATTTAATACACAATATCAATAAATAAAATATTTTACTTCCAAAAGGTTATAGGTCCATTTTCGGAGAGTATATTTCAGTAAATAGATCAGACCCGTGTTGAAAATTAGGCAGTTAATATTTAATAACTTTGCTTCTCGTAAATTTTGAAATATAAGGCATAATCCTGTTAGGGTTCTATAGTTGAAACGAAGAGTCGACTTTTCGACTTTTTTCATTTAGTTAAAAGTCGACTTTTCGACTTTTTGCATTTTATGAAAAGTCGATTTTTTG